CTCAATCTCTGCCCCACACACTCCTGGGCTTTTTCCTACCACTCCCATTTCCCAGCTCAGTGACCTCAGCAAACATGTGATGACCAATTGGCTGGGACAAAATTACACATCCATAGAATAAAGGCAAGAATCTTTTCCCACACCATTATTTTCCCAATAAAAAATAAATCAAACTGACAAGGTATAAAATTAGCTGGTTTATAGAATACTTTGAATCATTGCTTTCCCAACAAGTCACTCACAATGAAAACACAAACAAATCACAAAAAATGATGGTTTTTTTCTCCCTTTAGGAGCCCCGTGCTGCATCCAAGGGCAGCATTTGCTTGTGGATACCACAGAGTGCGTGGAATCTCCCTGAGTATCCAACAGCTCCATGGGATTGTTCCCTGCCTGTTTGGCAGCAACCCAGCCCCTAAGGAAGACTTTTGTTGATCCATATTTAGGAATTCTCCCCGTTTTTCTCAGTCCCACCCTGAAACTTGAATGACTTCCCATGGACTCAGCTCCCCAAATGGGAGAAGCTCTGCCCATTCTTGGGACAGTGCACAGGAATCTGTGGAAATGCCCATGTGTGTCTCAGGGTCTGATTCCCTGGTAAATCCACTCCAGCCTGCCCTGAATTCCCCTGCCTGGGCACTCCGTGCTCCTGCTCTGGCACTCCTGTTCCCCAACACCTTGTCTGCAGCCCCTGCTCAATATTTCCAGACTTTTCCCTCTCTTCTGGTGTGCACATCCAGAACCCAAACATTCTTTCTTGGAGGTCCCAAAGGGCTGCAGGTTTTGTTCAAGAAGGAGGGTCCAGGTCAGGTTGTTGAGCAGATTGTTGTTGTCTTTGCAGTAGTTCTAGGGTTCTCTCAGTCCCTTGCTGAGAGGGACAAAATGATCAATTGCTGCCTTTCTGGACTGGTTCCCACACAGCTGCCCTTGCATGGGGAGTTTCCAGCCAGCCCTGCTCTGAAAACCATCAAAGGCCCTTGTAGAGCCGCTGCTTGGGCTCCCTTTTGGTTTTGTGCTTCTTGCAGAGCTGAGCAAACCACAGGCAGGCCTTTTTCCCCCACAGAATTCTCACCTCTGCAGCAGCTCTAAAGCTGCCAGAATCAAAGCCAAGGGGGCAGGGGGGACCCTCACGTGCTGGCTGCCACCTGGGGCTGGCCAGAGCAGGGCTGGGCAATGGCCATTCCTGTGCAGTGGGGCTGGGCCATGGCTGGGCCCCATCCTTGCATTGACAGGCACCGGGCAAGGAATGTGCAGGGACATTTCTGAAACTGCCACCCATAGGGACAGGACACCCCATGCCAGGATGTGTCACCCCCTGGACTGGTTTCTCCCAGGTCAACTCCACAACAGGGACCTCACAGGGCAGGATCCTCCTGGATGTGCCCTCCCAGGACAGACACTGCCTCCCTTTGCCATCTGACTCTCAGCACAAATGGCCTCTTCCTTTTTGTCCAGGAAAAAGAAAGTGAAAGTGTTGAGGGAGCACCGCCCAACACCTCCATCCCCCACAGCCTCCCCATCCTTCCCTGCTCTCCTTACTCCCAATTATCCCCCTCCCATGGCTTCCCCCAGTGCGTTCCCTGCTCAGATGATTCCTGGGATTGCTGAGCCAGGAACTGGAGTTGAGGGGACATGGCATAAAAGTGAGGAAAAAAAGGAAGAAAACAGAAATAAAGAGAGAAAATTCAAGGGCAGGGGAAGGCACAGAAGCAGAGGTACCCAGGACCCCCATGTGATACCTGCACAGGAAACAAGCATCCCAAGGGGGCAGCACCTGGCCATGGGTCACCCCAAAATCTGAGGCACCCAGGGAAGGAGCTGTGACCCCCATGCCCCCGCAGCAATTGCCCATCCCTGGCACGCCTATTCATTTGGGACCCCAATCATGGGAATCTGATTTCCTTTTGTCCCTCCTTCCCTAAGACCCCTTCCCTGGACTGCAGTTCCTCACAATCTCCTACCCCAAAGAAACCCATCCTGGTAATTCCAGTCCCTGGGAGCCCCATTCTCTTGGGGACATTGATTCCACCAGGTCCCCTATTGTTACAGGGTTCCCCTTTCCCCTGGCACCCCCATCCCTTGGCCCCCATCCCATGATCACAAATCCCTGGAGGCCACATTGTTCTGGCACCCTCATCCCCAAGTTTGAGTCCATCCATCCACTGGGACCCCCATTCCAATGGGACCCGATCCCTGGGCACCCCATTGCTCTGGAAACCTATTTCTGGCTCCCTACACCACCTCAGACTCCAAATTCTGTCCCCACCATGTCCCACCATCACCCCCATGTCCCACAAGGTCCCCACCCTGCCCCCATCCTGTCCCCACCCTGCCCCCACCAAGGGCCACCTACATGTGGGGACGGACGTGACCTCGCTTCCTTCCCCTTCATCCGAAGAGCTGCCAGCCAGGGGAGTGGTGGCCACAGCAGCGAGTGACAGCCAGTGCACATGGCTGGAGACACCAGGATGGCTGGGAAGGTGGCACTGCTCCTGTGGGGTGAGTCCCCTGGGCACGGGTCTGACACCCTGGGGATGGGCCCTGGTGAGGCAGAGACTGGTGGGGAGGGGGCAGAGGGGAGCTGCAGGGTCCCCTGAGGTCCCGAAAGGCCGCAGAGCCAGAGCATGAGGTGACCAGGGCTGTGGGGACAGGAGAGGGGGGACAATAACGGGGAACAGGGATTTGGGGAACTATCTTGGGGCTGGTGGGGGTGACCACTGCAACCACTGTTGAGTCTCCTTTTCCGTGTGTCCAATGTGTCCCCATGTCTTAACTGAGCAAGGGCTAGTCGGTGTGTCTCTGCCCCCAAGGGGTACTTGCCACACTATGACAGTTTATGGACAGCCCCCACACCCAGTCCCTCCCTTCCAATGTCCCTGTGATGCCACCCTCACCCAGCCCTGCCCCTTCTCCCTTCCAGCCCAGACCCTCGGGCTCGTTGGTGAGTCCTCGGGGGATGCCATGGCCCCAACCCTGCTGTTCCCAGCCCCACGCTAGCCCTGGACGGCTGGTGTCCCCTGTCACCCACAGGTGCCCAGGCCACCCAGATCCTGGTGGAGCCCCCCTGGAGGCCGGTAGTGCTGTGGGACCAGGTGACACTGACCTGCAAGGGCTCGGGGACTGCCGGTGCCACCATCTGGTACAAGGACAGGCAGCGCTGGGGGCAGGAGGGACATGACCACTTCACTGTCACTGAGAGTGGCACCTACACGTGTGACAGACCCGGCAACGGGCACAGCCCCTCTGTGACAGTCTCAAATGGTGAGAGGGGTTTGGTTGTCTCCAGCCTCGCACCTGCAGGGACCCCAAGGTCTCTGGGTGGGCTCTGCTCCATGGGTCACCTCCTGGTGTGACCAGAGCCCATCCCCTGTACACGGGGAGATCCCAGAGCATCTCAGAGTGGAGGGACCCCAGTTCTGGATTCAGGGAACCCTGCTGCACTGGATGTGTTCCAATTCGAGGGTCCTTGAGAAAATTGAATGCCACAGGTGTCCTAAGACTCCCATGTTCCACAGCCCGACTGGTGCTGCAGGTGCCGGCGCAGGAGCTGCTGGAGGGGGACATGGTGACACTGCGCTGCCGGTGCTGGGCGAACATGTCGGTCACTGGGGTGCGATTCTACCATGGGGACAAGGAGGTGAAGAGGTCCCTCAGTGGGACCGAGCTGTCCCTGTCCCCTCTGCAGCTGAACCACAGTAGCCGCTACAGCTGCGGGGGCCAGGTGGACTCCAAGGTGGCACCGTGGGTGCACTCGGCTTCAGTGATAGTGACAGTGCACGGTGAGCACCCCACAGCCGCCACCCTGACACCCTCACAGCCCCTCCCCAGGGACTCAGGCTCACAAATCTCCCTCCCCTCTCCTTCCCAGAGCTCTACTCGGTGCCGGTGCTGGAGGGTCCCCCTTCTCTTACTGTGGGATCCCCCCTGACTCTCAGCTGCCTCAGCACCCCCAGCCCCCTGCGGCCCCGAGTCCCCCTCCTGCACCTGTTCTACCAGGACGGGCAGGTGGTGGGGGGCCCGCAGGGGTCCCCGCAGCTGCTGGTGCCTGCTGTGGGGGTCTTCAATTCGGGGAATTTCAGCTGCCAGGTGCAATCCGAGGGAGGGACCATGCAGAAGAGCAGTGCCCGGCTCCGCATCACGGTGTGCAGTGAGTGCGGGGATGGGCACAGGGAGCCCCCACAGCCTCCTCCGGGGCCCCTGCCCTGTCTGGGGATCTCCATAACTACCCGGGTTCCCCATTCTTTCCTTGGTACCTCACCAGATCCCCCAGCCCTATGTGGGTACCCCCATCTTTCCTGTAATCTTTTTCCACATCCCCTCATTCCTACTGGGGTCACCCTCCATGTCCCGCCATTCCTCTCTGGGGTCCCTTCATCTGTCCCTGGTTCAACCTCAGGCCTCTCTGATCTCCCTCCATGGTGGTCAGGTCTCACCATTCCCTCCCTGGTTTTACATACTCTTCCTGGTGTCTCCCCATCTTCCTCTCCAGGTTACTCATCCTTGAGCCCTCCATCATTCCTTGAGGTCCCGTTCCAAGCCCCCCTCCTATCTCTCTGCCTCCTTTTCCTCACTAAGGTCCCACTTCCCCTCTCCCATCCCTCCCCCCCATGGGTCTATCACTGTACCCTGGTGTCCCCTTATCCAAGGGGTCCCACCCTTGGGGGTGTCCCTGTCAGTGCAGCCCCCTGGGGGACAGGTGGCATGCAGGGACTGACTGGTGCTGAGCTAGGCGGTGGCTGCGGGTCCCCTGTCCTTCTCCTGGCACCGGGAGGGCTCGGGGGCACTGCTGGGAACTGGCCCCTGCCTGGAGCTGTGCCACGTTTGGGACAATGACAGTGGCCAGTACCGGTGCTGGGTCAGCGACGGGGACACCGTGGCTTGGAGTGACCCCCTGAATGTCACCGTCCTGGGCAAGCAGGACCCTCGGGATGGGGGTGACACCTCCCATGGCAACCCCCATCCCACCTCGCCCAGTGCCAGCCCTGTCTGTGTCCCCACAGTGCCCGTAGCCAATGCCACCATCAGCCCCGGTCCCCTGTCACACCAGGTCCGTGCAGGTGACAACGTGACCCTGCGCTGCTCTGTGCAGGTGGGCTCAACCCCTGTCACCTTCACCTGGCTGCACAATGGGCAGGAGGTGGCCCGGGGTCCCCTCCTGGAGCTCAGGGACATCGATGTGGGACATTTGGGCACCTACCAATGCGTGGCCACCAACCAGCTTGGACAGGACAGGCACCGCGTGTTCCGGGCACTCAGCCCTCAGCTGGCACTGGAGGTGACACCTGGCTCACCCTGGGTCACAGGTGGGGTCACACAGGGTCACCGGGGTGCTCAGTACTCCCACGGTTCAGGGTAACCGCAGTGTGTCCGCCTCTGTCCCCAGCAGTGGCTGTGAATGTCGGCAGGACCCTCCTGTTCCTGCTCCTGCTCCTGGCTGTCATCAGGGGCTGTCACTTGTGGCGCCGCTGGGGTGGGTGACATTGGGGGGGGTGGGGTGGTGGATGTCCTGGAGTGAGGGGGAGCCCCCAGAGTGGAGGCAGAGATCAGGAATCTGGTGGGAATCAGGGCTGCTGTGGGGATTTGGAGGTCCCATGGGTGGTTGGAGCTGCTGAGGTCCCAGGAAGGTTCAGGGGTCCCAGTGTCCCCACGGTCACCCCCTTCCCTTTCCCTTGCAGCCACCAGGAAGCCCCAGCACAGGTGAGTGGGGGCCTCTGTCTGGGACTCTCCTTTCCCACTTCCCAGAAACCAGCCAGATCCCCCTCCTTATCCCCCCAGGACCCCCCTAGTGGTGGGAGCTGTGCTGGACCCCCATATTGGGGGCACTGAGTGGGCAAAGGGTGAGTAAAGGAGGCGACAGGGACACCACACCCACGGGTATCACTCCCACCCAGGTCCTCAAAACTGGTGTCACTCTCACGGCCCCCACGGGTGTCACTCAGCCCTGCCCCACCTCAGGATCCACAAGTGACCAACCTGGAGCTGTCGGGACCCCACGAGGGACATTGGGACCCCCGTGACTACGAGAGCGTGCTGTGACACTCGGGGCACTGGGGGTCCCTGCCCCAGGGCACTCCCCTTCCCCCCCACCCCATCCTGTATCCTGTGTTCCTGTGCCTGGGGGGGTGGCAATGAGTGGGGGGGTTGGATGTGGGGCTGCCCAGAGCTCCCCATTCCAGTGCTCCCAGTGCTCCCTGCACGTCCAGGGGCTCCCCTTTACCCGTGGCCCCCACCAGTGCCAGGGGACACAGGAGCCTTGTCCCTCTTATTGGACCCAAAACACAGCTTTTGATGAAACCGGGGCGTTTTTGTTTGTTCATCTCTGCCTAGTCAGCTTGGCAACGAACAAGGAGGGTCCCACTCAGGTTGTTGAGCAGATCCTTGTGGGATTTGCAGGATTTTGGGGTTCCCTCAGTCCCTTGGGAGTCACCCCACAGCACCGCCGCAAACAGCATCCCCTGCCTTTTTCCAGGGAAACTGCGCCCCCTGTTCTCATGGCAACACACACACCGTTCTCATAGCAACAGTGTTCCATCTCCATGGCAACCGTCCCCCGTTCTCATGTCAGCAGCCCCCTGTCCCCACGCCCTAAGCCCCTCAATCCCATGGCAACAACACCCTTCTGTTCCCATGGCAACAGCCCTTTCCCAATTCCCACACCCACAGCCCCCTCATTACCATGGCAACAGTCCCCTCCCATTCCCATGCCTACACGCCCCCATTCCGACAGTAACAGCCCCCCAGGCCAATGGCACCTGTAGCCCCCATTCCCATGCCCACCTCTCCCCGTCCCCATGGTAACAGCCCATCGGTTTCCATGGCAACACCCCCTTCCCATGACAACAGCCCTGTTCTCATGGCAACACTCCTGTTCCCAAGCCCACAGCGCATGCGCCGCACAGTCCCCTCCTCTCTGTCTCTCTGACTACATTTTCCATCATCCTCTGCGGCCCGCGGCGCGCTAACGGCGCTGGGCAGCTCCGAGCGGACTCCATTGCCCATCGCACCCCGCTTCGCAAGAGGGAGGAGTGGGTCCCTACGGCGGCCGCCGCGGGCCAAGTTTCGTGACGCGTGCCGTGCGCGGACGCCAAGGTGGCGGACGAGGAGGGCTAAGCGTGGCCGGAGGCGCGGAACGGGGCTGGGGAGGGACCCCCGGGCGGGCCCCGCGTCGTCCGCATCGTCAAGTCCTAGTCAGGTTACGGCTTTAATATTCGCGGGCGAGTGAGCGAAGGCGGGCAGCTGCTCAGCATCAACGGTGAACTCTACGTGCCGCTGCAGCGCGTCAGCGCCGTGCTGGGCGGAAGAGCCGCCGACCGCGCCAGGGTGCGCAAGGGGGACCCGGCATCCTGGAGGTGTGAGTACGGGGGGACCGCCCAGCCACAGCCCCCCGGCAGCCGGGCCCGGGAACGCGCCCCACACACAGGGGCAGTCCCGGGGGTGCGGGAATGGGGGTCCTGAGGGGGCTATGAGGGGGCTCTGGGGGCCATGGGGGGGCTCTGGGGCCATGAGGGGGCTCTGGGGGCCATGAGGGGGCTCTGAGGGGCCGGGGCTGAGGGGACACCGAGCCCTTAGTGCGGTGTTGGGGTCCTGAGGGGCTCTGCAGGGCCTTGGGTGAGGGGGTGATGAGGGGGATTGGGACCCCCGGCCCTTGGGAGGTTTTGGGGGGTCGTGAGGGGCCTGAGGATCGTGTGATGAGGAGGGACTGAGACCCCAAGCCCTTGCTGGGGGTTTGGGAGAAATCCTGAGGGGGCTGAGCGTCCTTTGGTGAGGTTTGGGGGTGTTGGGAGCTCTGAGGGTCCCCTGGTGAGGGTGTGACTGGGGAGGAGGGGGAGCCCCCGACCCTTGGTGGGGATTTGGGGGTCCTGAGGGGGATGAGGGTTCCCTGGTGAGGATGTCACGAGAAGGGGTTGAGACCCCCAGCCCTTGGTGGGAATTTTGGGGGGGTCCTGAGGAGGCATCAGGGCGGCAGAGGATCCCATGGTGAGGTTTAGGGGGTCCAAAAGGGGGGTCTTGAGGGGGCTGAGGGTGCCTTTCTGAGGGTATCATGAGCCCCCAGCCTTTGAGGGGAATTTGGGGGATTCTGAGGTGGAGGCTGAGCCCAAACTGAGCCCCACAACCCTCGCTGGGGGTTTTGGGGGGGTCTTACAGGAGCCTCCCAAGGGGGAACCCTTGGGTTTCAATGTGGGGACTCTCCTGGGGAGGTCAGGGGGGAATTTTTAGTGATAAACCCCTTGGATTTCAATGTAGAGACTCCTAGGAAGGGCAGAGGGGGTTTGTAGGGATAAACCCCTCAGATTTCAGTGTGAGGACCATCCAAGGGAGGGCAAAGGAGCATTTTTAGGGATAAACCCCTTGGATTCCAACCTGGAGACGCTTCCTTCCCATTCCTGGCTCTCCAGCAGTGTTCTCCAGCTGCTGCTTTTTAACACCCAAAATTGTAACTTTGCCCCAGAAAGCACCTTCCCATGGGAATATTCCTGCTTTGTGGAAACTCATCTTCCTTTCCCCCAAAAAAGTCCTTAAACTTTGTGGCTGAAATCCCTCAAACCCCAGCGTGGGGTTCGGTTTTCAGGGATCCCTCCAGATCCTCCCACTGTCGCACTTCACTCCGGGTCGTTGATGTCCAATTACTGATTAATTCCAGGGATTTCTGACTGCAGGAATGTTTTGCTGCCAGCTCTGGAAGTCCAAGGGGTGTGAGGAGCTGTCAGGACCTGTCTGTGACTGGTGAATCCTGCAGATATCCCAGCTGGGATTTGGTTCTGTCCCAGCTGACCCAAATTCCCGATTCTTTGATTTTTCCGTTCAGGAGAAGTGCTGGGAGTGGGGAGAATTCTGGATGTACCTGGATGTGCCAATTGGGGGAGCAGCGTTCCCAGGCTGAGGGGGAATGGTTTTGTGGGCACTGGGATGAAATTTTCCCTCATTTTTGAGTGTTTTGGGGAACTTTTAAAAAGCTGAGTTTGGCATGAGAGAGAGGTTTGGAGCTTGGTGCTGGAATTTTGGGGTTCAGTGGGCGCTCCCAGCTGAGGACTGGGGGTGGTGTGTGAAATAATTAAGCCCTGGGGTTGATGATGGTTAATGAACAGGATTTGCTTGTGGTCTCGCCATCCTGGTATCCCTATGGGAGGTGGAAGGATTGGGAATTTCCTCTTGGTTTATCCGTTTATTTCCTGGGAGCAGTGGCTTTAATTTGTTCCTCTGTCCTGTAGGGCTGTCAGGTTGGCTCTTGCCCTATTCCAGTATTTATGTATCCCAATATTCAATATTCCAATATTTATGTATCCCAACATTTCAATATTCCAGTACTCCCATATCCCAATATTTCCATAATCCAGTGTTCTTGCATTCCAGTATTTCAATTTCCCAACAGCCCTGTTTTCCAATATTTCAATATTCCAGTATTTCAATTTTCCAATAGCCTTGCATCCCGTATTTCAAGATTCCTATATTTCAGTATTCCTGTGTACCAATAATTCAAGATTCCTATATTTCAATTTTTTTTAGTAATCCTGTGTTCCAATATTTCAATATTCCTATATTTCAATATTACAGTTTTTGATATTCCAATATTTCACTATTTCAATATCCCAGTATTCCAACACTGCTATATTCCTATTTCCCTATATTCCAATATACCAATATTCCCATAACTCAATGCCCCCATATTCCAATATCCCTACTTTTCAATATTCCAAGATCACCTATTGAAGTGAAGGGGAGCTGACCATCCGATTGATGCATCGAACTCCGATTTATTGATCAATCAGCCACTTTATATAACAGTGTTAATTAACTTCATGCATATTGCAAAATCCAAGCTTACGACAGCTTAACAGAGAAAACTCTAACCACTCCTTTTGTTTTACAATACCTACAATTGTTTATTAAAAACAGAACCAACGTTCCCATTGTGATATGAGAGTTTCCCAAAACTTCCATATCTGTTCCCAGGGAGCCAGCTTTTCCCAGACAGAGTGCTTTCCTTGTTATGGGAAGACTGTCTGAGAACCTTATTATTTATAAAATCAAGCCTGGGAACTGCTTTAGGAACTGCTTTACTTCTACCTTTTACTTTTCTCTCAATTGTATGTCTTCATGGCCTTTTTCTTTAAGCCATGCTTGCACTAAACTCTCCAACATTTCCCCCATCTTTTTCTTTTTGAGAAAGGAGGTTAGTTTGCCAGGTTTTCTCTATCATCCTACCGACCATATTTTGGATACAACTACAAAAATAAGGTAAAATAGCTAAAAGCATTTAAAAGCACACTCAGTATCTCTATAAGGTTCCCCAGCCACGGTCCGAGCAATGGCTTTTACCCCAAAGGGTTAAAACCACCCCCAGCTGAGCCATAATGTCCGGCCTTATCAGGCATTGCATGGTAGGTGGTAATTGGACTAAGAAAAGAAGGCTGTTAGCTGTTTTCATTCATGTGAACCTGGAGAGGAGGTAAACGGCAAGCCTGAAAATGATCCTTTCTGTCCTTCAGATTTTCACATCCACGCTTTTTCTTGGGTTTCTCAGAAAAGTTCAAAATCAGTTTTCAGTCTGTAATCCTTTAGTCATTTGGCTCAAATGGCATCAGCTGGGCGATTCTCAATCCTTTGTTGATTTAGAGTGGTGGGAAAGCAGCACGCACCCAAAGCACCCAAAATATTTAACTTAGCAGACTTATTTGCAAAACATGTAAAATCACTTAAATCTAATAAAACTTTAACAAAATCAACTGACTTTAAATTCTACACAACTTAAACCCAATATAATTCAAACTTAACAGAATCTAACTTAACCGAAAATAAACTTAACAAACTTAACCTTAACAGTATTTAACATTTAACGGCACTTAATAGAAAATTTAACTTAAACTACTTAATAACAGAGAAAACCTACTAAAGAAATAATATACAGCATTTACTATAACTTACTTACAGGCCTGATTCTAAAATATTAAGCTAAAATAACTTTCTTCACATGTTTGCTATAGCATTTCTATACCAAAAAGCACACTCACAACATCTC